CCGGACTTATGGTTGCGATATATCATAGTCGCTCACCGGCGCTGGATAATGGTTATCCCGTCATCTCTTGTCATCCAAGCTACAAATATCCTTCATGAGTTCTCTTCTTCCTGAATCTTTACCAGAACATCTCACACCTCCTTGAAGCTTCATCATCTTGTCTCGAGGATTCTGATTCTATCAACACAAGTTTATACATCAGATCCCCATCAAGCAAATCATCGAAGATGTTGACCAAGCTCCCACTCGAGATAGTCTTGTCCATCGCAGACCAAATGGACGCAGCCAAAGACATAAACGCTCTCGCTCAGACATCCAAACGTTTCCATCGCCAACTGAATCCGTGCCTCTACCGATTTGACTGGAGACACTGCGAAGGTTCGGCGTTGATCTGGGCGTCAGATAACGGACTGGAATCGACTGCGCAGAAATCACTTGACGTACGGTCTACATCTCTACCAGACAACAAGACGCTTCCGATCGCGGAAAAGGCATTCGTGAATGCTGCACGGAATGGAAGATATGATATAGTCAAGCGGCTGATCACGATCAGCAACTTGAATCTGAATGCGAAGGATTCTAGGCATTCAACACCAGCGCTGGTGTGGGCGGCCGAATTTGGCTATGAAGACATAGTCAAATTGCTGCTCGAAACACCCCGTCTTGACATCAACGCAACGTGTCCCCATGGTAGCACGGCACTGCGGAGAGCTACCGCGTGGGAGCAGGAAGCGATCTTCAGGATGCTGCTCGCCGCACCTGGGATAGACGCGAACTGCCCCGATGACGAAGGACAGACGCCACTCTACTATCTGGCGTTCTTTGGTGAAGAATCGCTGATTAGCTTGCTACTTGCCAAGGACGGCGTGGACCCTGATCCTCAGGACACTTACGGCTTCACACCGCTATATGCAGCGGCAGAAGAAGGGCACAAGGGGGCAGTCAATCGGCTCCTGGCCGCTGGCGCGGACCCCGACCCGAAGGAACACGCAACGGGACACTCACCACTGTGGGAGGCGTCCTATCACGGACACAACGAAGTAGTCGATGCTTTGCTCAGAACAGGAGCTGTGGATCTTGAATGTCAAAGCTTGGCTGATGGCACGGTACCCCTCGCGGTGGCTGCACAGCGTGGCCACAAAGAAGTGGTTCAGTTGCTACTGGCCGCCGGTGCTGACCCAAACAGCAAGGATGATTCGCAGGAGACGCCATTATCAAAAGCAGTGAAGGCCGATCGCAGAGCGATCGTGGAGCTTCTGCTTGCCGCGGAGGGTGTTGACGTCAACTCTCAATGTCAACTTGGCCGGTCACCTCTCTTCCTGGCGATACTGAATAAATCCGCTCCTGACTTGAAGATCATTGAAATGTTACTCGCGGCGAATGCCGACCCCCATCTTCCTGCTAGCACCGGATCCACTCCCTTGTCCTTGGCGAAAGGTCGCACCAAAAAATTCCTGAAAGATTGGGGCCAAAGCACCGACACCGCATGAGCGAGGCATCGAAGTGGCTAGTCCAATGAATCGCAAATGTTGTATCAGGTACAGTACTGTACAGACTTTCTTTCGGATGCCCCTCTCAAGGCTCTGACGTCTTTCCTGTGTAGCTTCCACCGCGGTTCTACAAGGATACTGACCCCACCGCTACAACGAAGGGGTTGTTTGTCGAACACATTTAAGGACAACCCGTATGTACCTGACCTAAACTGTTCCACATATTCTCGAGTGAGAGAACAGAAGCTAAGCAATGAAGATATTTTGCATAGGGGGCGAGATGTCGTCGCGTCAGGTACCACTCTCAACAGATGCATGAACCACCACGACACTTCATGTCTTTTCTCTCTCTCTTGATGTTTTAATCTGGGCTCAAATTGTCAAATATAAGTTGCAATACTTTGTTTCTGAGTCTGTAATCTGCTTAGATCTTATTGCTAGCCCATAGAACCATACAATGATGCCATGCCGGTCTTCGTAGAGGTTTGCCTGTGTAGATTGAACATCGCGAGAATCCTAACAAAGAGACAGGGAAACACTCCTGTGCTACGAACAGATCATGGTCCTCTTTGCTGTAAGTATCCACTTTGTATTCCGCTCACGATGTGGGTTTCTCGACGATTGCCGCGAATGACCGGATCACTCCGTTCGTTTCTTCTTTCCCAATAGATATAAAAGACTTCCAACGCCAAATTGCATGACTATCTTCACTCTCACCATCTGAGCCTGAGAATCATATTTAAACAGTTAGGAACCATCACCACACGTAGATCCACCACAAAATGTCGAACGCAACAGACCCCGACCTTCCAGTGGCCGAAGCCACCGCCGGGCACGTATCCTCCGTGCTTGACCGCGCCGGCATCCATCATATTCTTTGGGGTCAACTGGCCTTTGTTGTCTATGGTGCGAAGTTCTCCTGCAACAACATTGACTTCGTCGTCCAAGAGGCTGACATGACCCGGGCAGTCAACAACCTGCTCACCGCGGGCTTTGTGCCCGTGACTGGCAATGATCGCTGCAGCTACTACCGGATCCCCGAGAAGTCCCACCCCGAGAGGGTCTTCCACCTCGACACGGTCAACATCAACGGGGAGCATACCCACTTTGACGTGCGCGTGTTCCCCATGCGCTGGGCGCTCCCCGGCAATCGCGCGATCGGCCACCGCGTCATCTTCGACCACCTGGCGCGGCGCAATCTGATCCTGGCCACCGATGACCGGCTTCCAGGAGCCTTCCGGCACGAACGGTACCCCGTGCGCATGCTCGCCCCCGTCCATTGCCTCCAGTCGATGCTCGCGCGGTATTTGACTGCAGACTGGGGGCGGACGCTCATCCGGCAGTTCGGGGAGGAGTGTATCGAGCCCCTACTCTTAGAGGAATTCACGGAGGAGGGCTTCGATGTAACCCTGATGCACTCTGCGTACGACATGATATATAGCGCCATCATGACGGCGGACGATGAGGATAGCCTGAAGCAGGTGGCCCTGCAGGTTCGGGCAGACTTTTGGCCCGTGTAGGGACTGAAAATCTCCTCTTTTGTTAGATGTTTTTCTTTAGGATAATCCAATAGAAGGCTCTTCAACATACCTTTATTTTAATCTTGTGCTGGTCGCGATAGTATTCACAGGGGTAAACTAGTACTGTAAGCAATTGGACGTGCGACAGTGTATGCTTCCTGGATGACCAGTTCCAACCGTCCTGTCGCCCCTGTTGGCCACTTTGAGGCGTGAGAGCTCAATGGTTACTAATGTCTCCTGAGGAATAAGTGTGGTGAACTAGCCATATCCTAGATCCCATGCTCAATAATACAGCTGTTCACAGCAGAGGTATCAATCTCCCTTGGCTGAAATATGAATAGACACAAATGAGCATCTAACACAAATTCAATAAACATACAAAACCCAAGGCCTTTTCTCTTTCATCAATACCACCTTCCCTCAGAGCAGTGTCCAGCTTTGCAGCCCTCACACAGGGACCTGATGTGTGGACCGTTACTATCCCCACCATACACCGGGACCTCCATCTTGATTCCACTCCATTTCTTCAAGCGATATGCGACCCGCTCCGCGTACGAGTCATCAAGGATTGGTTGGCTGAGCCGCTTGCATTCCTGGCAGCGCTGGTGCATTGTATCTGTCTCCAGGATACATCCGAATGGTGACCGCGATCTTCTTGCTAGACCACCCAGTCGAACCGCATTCATCGTTAGGACAGCTGAATCGGCCCATGATATTTGTGTCATAGGTCTGGAGCGCGAAGTCATCGTCCTTCGAGTGAAAGCGAAAATACAGGTCGGACTCCCCTAGGAGGGCCGCCACTTGGGAGTGCAGGGATGGATACATTGACCATCGCCGGGTCGATTTGTGCTTTCTGGCTGGCATGGTGAATGGGCTTCATTTCATGTCTTTGATGGTTGCAGAGAGCGGGAGCAGACTTGACAGCAATCCATGCCATGCCAGGTATTGTCATAGTGCTCCTGTCGAGTGTCAAGGTGCCCCTCAGATGACGCCAGCTGAGTCTGGGTCGCCATCACAATGGCGTAAGTTCCAGACCTACAAAGACTGAGCCTATGTTTGACCTCTCTTGGTTGTACCAGATCATGTTATGCTTGGGCCTCCCATTGCTAGCAATTGAATATGGCGGTGACCTTGCTCGGTATCTCCTGGCCTGGTCTCAACGCCTGGCAGACCCTGACGGCCAATAACAAATTGATCTGCTGTAGATATTCATTGTGATGTTGCTTATCCTTGTCATTAAGTCTAACCACCTGGATGGCAATTATGGTGAGGTTGCAGATTCCAGCCACCTGCTGTTGGCACCACTCACTTCTTCTCACATGCTCACCTTGATCGGCTTCCTGACCGGGTATGTGGAGGATCCCCCAGTGATTGCAAGGCAGAGTACACAAGAACAAAAAGAGAAAGAGATGCAAATCCGCAGCTTGAATGTGGACGAGATTGGGGCAGGGCTCAGATTGTAGATCAGATGCATCATTGGCATGAATAGAGCTGACCTTCCAGGAACAATAAAAAGATTTAGGCTGTATTTATGGTTGAATCAAAACCATTAATCAGCTAGATGTTACCTAACTAGGCAAATTTGACTTATGAGATAATGATGCTATATATAATATTGGTATCATATCAAGAGTTAACAATGGTAATAAGATATAGTAAGCTTATTTCAAGGGTCAAGGCCTTCAGAGAACAATAGGTCCTATTCACAGTTGCTGAGGCTTAAGTTAGCAGGGCAGGTGCCTTAACTATCTAACAGTATAACATTTGGGTGGGTGCAAGGCCCGCCCAGATAAGTATAATAAAGTTTAATAAGCAGATTATGCCCCAGTACTGTGTAGCTAAATCTAAATATAACAAACACATAGGCTACAGCTAAAAGCAGACTGATTAATGTATAATAAGTGAATGATGGGTCATGACAGTAGGCTAAAAATGGTACTCTGATCAAAATACGATTGGAACATTAGATAAGATTAAGATTGATTAAGATGGTAAGGTGGCCGAGTGGTTAAGGCGTTGGCCTTAAGAAATGTTGCTTAACACCTTAAGAAACCCAATGACGAGAGTCTCCAGGGTTCGAACCCCTGTCTTACCATTGTTTTTTCACTTACCGCCTTCGTATTTTGCCGGCAGTATATCTTCCCGCCTGATTTGCACCAGCTCATCAGTAAAACAGTCCAATATTCAATCCTGAAGTCTGCGTTCCCCATGCTCAAGCCACCCCAAGTAATAGTTTCCAGCGGATACCAGTCGCTATCCTCTATGGTAATTGATATTGGCACCAGCAGGCCTTCTAATACAACCAGTCCTCTCCAAGTCTGCTGTAAAGCTTCAAGTATGCTTTCCGGCTTCTTCTGCTTTACGCTACTATATACAAAATAAATGTTGAAAGAATCCTTGGAAAAAAAAACTAGAAGAGACTTTGATATAGAACCCTAGTCAGACTACCCTCAGCCCTAAAATCCCCTAATAATTTCTCATGTAACCACTGTATACAAATATTTGCAATACTATTACCGGTTGTGTGGGAAAGATTGCTGGTGCCTATATCAATCATTATAGAGGATACACACAATCCCTACCGTCTTCAGTATTTTGCTTCATATTCCGCCGGCAGAATAAACTGAAACTCTTTAAGCCTTATGAGAATGTGCTTGGGGAGATGCTTACAAATGTGCTACAAAGTTGCTTATACCCCTGATTGATAATTCGCGCGTTATATGGTGAGGGCACTTGGAGAGAATTGTATTTACAGAACAGCAGTAATTATTGACTGCACCGGTGACGAGAATATGAGTAGTATCAAGACTCAGATACAGTGCTTTCTTTTGCTAGGCGGAGGCATGGCAGCCAGCGTATTCTGAGACTTTCTTACCACGAGGCTGTTCGGGCTCGTCACTGGACGCTCTTGTACGTTTTGCTGTAGAAGGTGGCACTGACTTGACCCGTGAACCGTCATCCAGGATATAACCACCGCCCAGGAAGATTCCCAAATCGTCATCAACATTCTTATTGCTTGGGTGGATGTAAATGTGCCGTCTGCCTTGGTCTTTCAGATCATGAACTGTGGCAAACAGCACCTTTCACAACTCTCAGACAGTGGTCCATGTTAAATGGTTTGGTCCGTAGAGCCGTGGTGTCTAATGGGCTCAAATCCAGCAGCTCAAGCTGATCTCTTGCCTCCTTAGTCAAGATCTCTAGATGGTCCTGATGCTCGAGAGCATTTCCAGTCCGGAATAGTAAGGGCTGGACTCCTCCCCGTCGCTTGCACCGAGAAGTAGGCCATGCACTGATCTCAGGGTCTGGTGAGCCCTCAAGCTGCAGTGAGTATCTGTGTCTTACATTAGAAGCAAGTGAGATTCCTTGGAGCAGAGGTAGGACAACGCTTAGGCCAACTGCTGCGTATTCTGCCTTGCCAAAGTATTCTTCCAGAATTCCTGGCGCCAGAGACTGGAAGCATCTGCATTAGAACATCTCCAGAATATTCGAATATTCGCAAAGACCATAGGGATATGGCAATTGATATGGTCCGGCCAGACCAGAGTCCATAGTTCAATGAAGTTGATCGCGCGGTGTCCATCCCCCTTTGCCACCATATGATAATGCAGCGTACTATGGTCTCGCTTAATGATAGCCACGAGGTGCTGCAGGACCCGGTTCTTGGGGTTCTCCGATTGCCCTACATATGGGCGCCAATCATGCGTTGCGGTCATCGGTGACAAAGCTAAGGTAGCCATTGCCACGCTGCCACTCTTCTGTCAAAGCCTGCTTTTCACGGACTGTATGCAACCTACATGTTGTTAGTACAAACTTTTGTCGCGGAAATGTAACTTTCTCCTACATCTCTGTAGTCACGACCTTGTTCTCGAACTGTATTATTGCCAGGTGAAGAGCATTTTTCAAGATATCGACGCATTCATTTATTGTTCCTATGGCCGAAATCGAATCCTTGTATGGAATATGACGAAGTTCTGGTCTCTCTACTTCGGTAAGGGTTCTGAGCAAGTGGGCCAAGGTTTCCTTGATCGGCGGAAACTTGATCTCGGGGCAGATGGCGGACGAGTTCTGGTAGCAGGAAAGAGAAACTGGTTAGTGATCTTTATTATGACCCTCCACACGAGATAGTGGGAAGGCTATAGTCCGGAGGACTGGGACTCACTGCATTTGATGCACTTGAACTTCTTTCCTCAGCTACGGCTGGCTGCGATCGACTCGGGAAGCGTTCTGGAAACAAACGACTTCGTGGTCCTGGCTGGGATGTTCGTTGCGGCCTTGATGGCGGCTCAGGTGGATCTTGGTCGCGTAAATATTGATTTCTTCTGCGTTGTGGACATTTGGGATCATGCCCTCTCAGCCCGCAACTTCGGCAGACAGGGCACTGTGAACAGTTTCGAATGATATGTCCTCTCTTGTGACAATATCGGCAAGGAAGTTCTAAACAGAGAAAGCTTGTATGGCCTTCCGCAGCGCAGTTACTGCAAAATGGTCCCTGCAGACTATACATCTTTGCTGATCTTGATGATACTTCTTGCAGCGAGAAACCCTTCTGTATGCGGAAGAAGAAGTTTTTGAGAAGGAGATCGAGAAGAATAAATAGAAAGGAAGAAGAGATAAGAGGAGAAATGTAGATGGCAAGTTGATATGAGAGTCTTTGTACAATTCCAAGGAATCATTGGAGAAGAGGATTTCTTCTTTAGAAGATACTACAGACTTGAGTAGCTACAGTATAGTGTACAGTATGTTATTACAAACAATTGGGCTGATACTTCCTTGCTTTCAGTACAGGCCAGATATAATTAATGATGCTGGCAATGATGATGATGTTAAACATAAATCGTCACTTCTGGCAGCTATATAGGCCTTTTGAATACTGATGACGCCCAGGGATGGGCATTGAAGAACCTCTGGTGCTTGAAACTGAGTGATCTGCGTGTGGAATCTGTTGGTGAATCGCTTCAAATCAAGTGGTCGGATTCCTCAGGCATCCATGATGCCGACAAGCCTTTCCTAATCCGTCATATGTGAAGCTTTCCCAAAGCGGAAATAAACAAGAAAACCGTGCATCTGATCGTGCATCTCTTGTCTATGGCCCGCAGATCAACTCTTGCTCGTGATTTCTCACCTTCTTGGTGGCTCTTACCCATTTCTTGTTGATACGACTGAATCTGATTAGAGCTACTACATTTCTTCTCAAGAAAACTCCCTAGGTTTTTGATATCGTTGTGGTGAGGAAAGGGCCCGAGGATCAAAACAGATAAAGATGCTAATATCAAGCCACAGTGTCTTTATTATCCTTTCCCTGTCTTGTTCCCAACATCTTCATCGTCACTTTGATCGGCTGGAGCCGGTTTGATGGGCTTATCCCTAGCGCAATAAAAACGGGGTTGCGCTTTCATACTAATACTCGAGGCGCCAGTTCTTGGAACAAGTAAGGAGGCACTGGGGCTTCGCAATCTCCGGGACCTTAGTAGGTAATATCTTATATAACCGCTAAAAAGGGCCTATGTAAACTGTGGTCATCAACTCGACCCTATACAGTCTCTGTATCGGACATTTACAGGATCACTGGCATGCACATCAAAGGGCGGGAGATTATCGACCCAGCGAGGTGACAGATTCGTTCCATATCGACCGTGCAGCAGTCACCGCTTGGTTGAACACCAAGAACTCCAGTTCGTCCTACTCAAAAGGGATCAGGGTCCGAAGTGCCTCCACGGATATCGCCGAGAGACTTGCTTGGCTGTCACACTGTGCGTCGATCGCGAAGGTCCCTGCATCGAAACCGAATCACCAATAAACCACAACCCCCGTTCCTTTTCATCTTGGGAAGAATTTTGGGGATAAAATCACATCTTCAAACCAACTTTGCAATTTCCCCTTAATTAATCCACTTTATCGGCCGGGTCGGGACCGATGCCATTGGCCCATCGGTGCTTACACCCCACTATGCCGTCAGAGTTTTCTACCCAATTCGGGTATAAGAGGCTCCGCCATACCAACGACTATCGATGTTAGCTTCCGGGACTCCGAGCAGGTGGCGACCAGGGAGATGGAAAAAGCCACAGCCGTAATGTTTTTTTCTTGTTTCTCTCAATTCAATTCCCGATGTTGATCATATCGGCCTGGGGCCCTGGGCGGCGGGCGCAGGGAAAAGTTCTCCACATTGGCACATAGGAGAAGGCAGCTGTCGGTGACGTTCTCTCGCGTCACGGCTGTGTTGTCCAGCCTCGTTTAACACATTTATTCTTGGAATTTCTGGGCACGGCACTGCATGAGAAAGGAGAAAGGAAAAAGGAAAAAGGGGAAGAACATCCAGTGGATCCCCACTTGGCAGGCAGCAATGAGTCAAAGGGCGCTAAATGCTTGACCTCATCTCGCATAACCACTTACTAAGTAAACTACGATGAGTGACTAGGCTTCGCTAATGCTAGTCGCTGCTTGCGGCCTCCCTAAAGGGCTTAGAGTCTACAGTCCACTTTCTCAAGTGTAAACACCAACTTCGCCCACCGAGTGACCGAGGATCTGGTGGGCTGCCAAGCGAGAGCCTCCGCCTTATCGTCCCACCTTGCAAAGTCAAATCGTCGAGAAAGGGTCGAAGGGTTCAAGTGCAAGGTTACATAGCCCCATAGCCAAGGCCTCTTATCACTGTTGTGGCTTAGTTTCGTGACTAGGTAGGCATACTTAGCGGGGCTCCAAGACTCAAGCGTGCCAGTTCACTGAGTTCAGGGACCGTTGGTGGAAGTCTGAGCGATAAACCAGGCGCAGGCGCACCCTTCAAAACCCCCTGCATCCTTTGCATCTCTGCAGTCTGCACCCTCCAGCTCGATCGACACCATCGCCTACCCTGCCAGTCAACCCAGCAGTCGATCATGAGGAACACTCTTCTCCTTTCGTTGGCCTGTCTCGCGCAGTCAACAGGCGCTCTCACTCTGCACGAGCGCGCCCAGCCCGCTACAGTTCAATATGATATCCATCGGCGACAGGGCTTGAGCCATGCTCGCCACAAACGATCGGCGCCGGAGACAGATATCGACAACGAAGTAAGCTCCCATGCTGGCCGGTGTGATGGCGATTTTCTAACAATCGCTCCAGGAA